TTTCCAATTTACTCGTGCTGATGACAAATCTTTTATCAATATGCTCGATTTCTACTGTGATGATATCACAAACAGCACTTGTATTGTGACTTGACTTTCCTTCAAAAGATATTGTCTCTAAGTGTATACAGCATTTTGTGCTTAAAATTGGGAAAACATCTGGCCATAGCCCACAAGTATCTAGGGAAGTATTACTTTGTTTTAACTTTAAAAAATTAAAAATGAAATCAAGAACAAATATAGCCTCAAAATCTCTCTTAAAACTTCAGAACTAAAGCCAAAAATAATTTTAAGAAATTAAAAAATATGTAACGCTTTTCACAGATCCAAAGGTCTCCGAGAGATCTTACAATAAAAATCTGAGAAGTATTTACACATCCCGATGTTCTTAAAAAATTATTGATTCCACTCTATCTTACAAATGTCAACTGCACTTTTAGACTTATTTATCACCCCACAGTTTTGCTCACTTCATGCCTTACCCAACAGTGAGGTATAAACAGTTCTCACTGATTGGCATTTGTTAAGTGTGATAAAAATTTTTTGGGCTGTTCAGTTTGAGTTTTACCCACCAGAAGCTTAGCAGCTACAATGTTTTGCTGCTTGAAAGAAGGTCACATTCTCAAGAGTTGCAAAATGCAAGAATGCTAGAGTACATTAAACGACAGCACATTAAAGGTGCCGAAGTACTTGAAAATGAGCAAAAGGCATCCTTGGAGCTACACCACCTCTCACAGTCTTATTATGGCTTTGGAGTGTTGACTCGCCATTTTGCAATGTTTATTTCTGATAAAAAGAAGTTTTCATAAATGAGTCCATTGTTACAGCTTTCCTTTTTTTTTCTTCAAGAAAAATAGTGAATGCATTTTCTGAAACACCTAGCACACCAGTGCTGTCACTACTTGGTTATTGCGAGTACTTTTATCAGCCACAAAAGAAAGACTGCGAGGAGTAACGTCGAATTTAGAGATACATAAAACACCCAAAACATGCACAGTGGGCTATGCCACAGTGAAGGGTCATGAATAAATTATGGCTGCCTGGGTGCTTTAACATGCACCTAAATATTCATACACAGGGGCTTTTTTACACTCTACTCCCACTAGGATAGTGTCAGTACAGCTGGGAATCAAACCAACACACACATGCAAGAGAAACAATAATAATAATGTTATCCTCAGATTGTGCATCTGTAATGCTTTCACTATTTCATGTTAAAAAGAAAACTCAAAAATCCACACGAATCATTTAAACCCAAACGACCTAGCAAGCCTAGCATATGTCATTATGTTCAACTAAACTTACATTATAGCAGCACTATAATGACACAAATTATAGTAAATCATCTTAATCTTTGCCATAATTTGTGAAGCTTTCATAGAAAAATTTGTATATTATGTGAATTAAAAGTAAGTAAAGCACATGAACTAATGTAAACCTCCTGTGTTAAGGCAGGTCACCACCTTCAAAAACGCATTTTCTGAAAAAAAAATTTGGGGGGGGGGGGGGGGGGGGGGGGTAGAATTTCACATTTTCAAGTTCCCTGTCCATGCAAGAATACTCATAAAAAAACTTTTGTAGCTATCTTGGGTCACTCAAAAGTCATCTCCATCTTTTCAACCCTTGATGGATGCATCCCAAACCGAAACTGAATGTTTCCGTTACCACAACACCTACCATTTCATAATAAATGTTTTTCATATACATATTACGTAACGCTAAGCTACCTAAGTACGTTTTAAAGCTTGCAGAGCATCACCTTCTCATTTTATTTTGAAATTTTCCCAACCTGGTTGGAGCACTCCACTAGTCAGGTTGCACGCATTTTCGTTCAGTGTTGTTTTCTATGTCATTTTGAGTTCTTGCATTTAGTTATGACTTTTTAAGGAGAAAGTTATTATATTTCATGAAACATGGTAAAGTATAGGATGAAAAAGAAGCGTAAACGTAAATAGCCGTTCAATATGCCAAGCGTGGCCCTATTGTGGTGCACAGGAATGAGAGTCATCTCTTGACACAAAACGAGCTAGGAAAAAAATACTTCTTTTGCCTCGTTCAAAAAAAGCTTGTACCACTTCAAAAGAGGTCCCAAGCTATAAGCCTGGTGAATTTTCAGGCGTACTGGTTGTTTCTTTATTAGATGGAACATTTGGTTCAAATCTTTAAAGCCATTTTTTTCAAAGTGCCATTTTTCACATCCTAGTGTTACGCAAACAATGATAGCTCTGCTTCTAACCAATATTTTCATACAAAATTTTGTAAGCTGTTTTTTTATAGATGTAGCTCTGCATTCAAGCAGAATTATTGATAATCGGTAACTTTTTGTAATGTGGCCAACTGCGTGCAAGAGAAACTGGCCAAACATCAACTTTTTCACTGTTTTTAAGATAACGCACCCAGGCTTCAAGCTATGACGCTTGTGGAGGTTACATGCACAGGATGTTGTCCTCACTACATAGCTACCAAGTAACATTTGAGTCACACCAAAAGTTTTTTAGTTTTCACTGTTGGTGCAACATGCATATTTAGGCACTTTCTTATTTTTATAAATTTAATTTTTTTCATTTTCTGCTATTTTATCATTTCAATCTTAAAATTTTCCAAATCCCTACAAGCCAAAATCATAATTGTAACTTTCCACCCTAACAGGCACACTTTTGTCACGTCTAAGGAGTCCCAAGCTCTAAAGATAACATCTATAAAAACTTCGGAGTCTATCAGCAAAGATCAAATGCGAAAGCAGCTAGTTCACTGCGAAAACAAGGCTTCGACTTCCCCATGATACACACACACAGGCATTGATTTGATGATTTGGTGTGTGGTGTTTAACGTCCCAAAACCACCATATGATTATGAGAGACGCCGTAGTGGAGGGCTCCGTAAATTTCGACCACCTGGGGTTCTTTAACGTGCACACAAACAGGCATCAAAAATGTTAAAGCGTACTAGTACAAAATTACCATTACAAATAATTTTCCTGTGGTTGCGATAACCAGTCACATAACCACCTCTCGTGAGTCGCGAAATACACGTGATGCGCAAGAAACCACAACCACCGCAGGCCAGCATGGTTTAGGAATGGTCGAAATCTCCATACAAATAAAAGTCACAGTTTTGCCGCAAGGGCGGAGCAATGAATGCGACAGCAACAACTCGGAATGTCAAGCTGAGAATGGCAAGCAGATCGAAACGTGCAGCGCGCTGCTCACGCACACATGACGCATGAAAACAACACACACAGGACGCGAACGAACTAACAATGTTTACCGCTCAACACGTAACGTAACGCACGAAACGTAATCGCAGGCACAAATGAGTACAAACTAACAAGTGCCCCAGTTGTTATACCTCGCTGTGTATGAAAAGCGCGCTCTTTTCGCAAACGAGGCCTGTGCAGAGACCGAAGTGACCTTTGTGGGCCCGGCAACTAACGCAATCGTTTCAGGGAAAAGCCGAAGGCACACGATTCTTCCCACCAAAGGATAAGCGCGCGCGCACGAGCACGTAACCCCTCCTCCACCTGCGTGGGAAACAAGCAACTGTGCAGATGTAACCACCGAGGCAGCTATACGACCACTAAGGCTCGCTCATTCGCCGTTACCCGCCCTCGACGCGAATATTGCGCATCCCACCACCTTTGCGTTAAAGCCGACAGCAAAAATTCTACGCACGGTTACATTACCGAAAAACTGTGACTGCTTACCAGTATGTGGCGCAGAGATGATGCAGCGGAGATCGAGTCTAAAATAATAACAACACATAGACGCACTTCCGGTCCTCTTCTGCGCCTGCGCAGTCAACACCTCGCGCCGATTTCCGACGAAACCACCGAGTTTCACACAGTGTTTCATAACGTAAGACAATAGCGCCCAATACTTTTTTTTTTTGAGGGGCTATTGTAAGACTCCATAACCTGAACATTTCAAACAATGATAGTGTGTTTATTAACAAAACACTTAGCAGGTATAACATTAAACAAGCCATCTTTGCTTGATAATGTCGGCACGAGTAGCGCAACAAATACCAGTAATGCAAATAACACTAATTTTATTGACTGATCATTATGACTAATGCACAGTTTACACAAGCGAACTAAGGTAGCAATAGCTCTATTATTCATTCACCACCTAGGACAATGAATCAAGATTACGTACCTGCATAATGATTGATATGTGGGCTTTAACGTCCCAAAACCACTATATGAGTATGAGAGACGCCGTAGTGGAGGGCTCCGGAAATTTTGACCACCTGGGGTTCTTTAACGTGCACCCAAATCTGAGCACACGGGCCTACAACATTTCCGCCTCCATCGGAAATGCAGCCGCCGCAGCCGGGATTCGAACCCGCGCCCTGCGGGTCAGCAGCCGAGTACCTTAGCCACTAGACCACCGCGGCGGGGCTACGTACCTGCATAAACTGCTACAAAGTGGTGTATTTAAATCGTAATACGTCTTCAGTGCTACAAAAAAAAAAAAAAAAGTGCCCCTAAACGTCGTACAACTTACGTGCTTGTCACGCGCCGCTTGACATTGCGAACTTTGGAAACATGTGGGTCCATCAGAAACATATACAAATCGAATGGCGCGCACGTTAGAGCAAAAAATTTATACGCATCGTTCTTTTAAATACAACGCGCTACGCTGATGGGCATGGTTCCGCGCATTCGATTCTTGATCGTGGCAGCTAATCGGTGGCATAATTCCACATCGCCCGTGAGACGCGATATTTCTTATAGAAAACAAGCGAATTCATTGACAGAATGTTCATTCTCGACGTAAACGCACGTTGGGGAAGTGAAAAAAGGGTTTACTATGCGCGCGAAACCGGTGAAAAAAAAAGTATGTAACTTGAGCAACACCGTGCATTGAGCATCCTACAAAGCTCACAGTTAAGTAGTCACGGCACACTACCTAGACATCTCCAGCAATTCATGCGCGGGTCATAGAGTTTCGTACGCAATTATGAAACCTATAGTACGGACAGCACAGCAGTGTACTTACTCGAGGCAGCTGGACCCTGTCAGAGAGACATCATCCACATCGGGGTCGTCGATCTCCATCTCGGCGCTTTCACGGTTTTTGCGCGTCGACACACGTAAACGTCTACTGACCTGAGGAAGAGCGCGAGCTTTAAGCACAAAGCTTTCTCTGATTGTGCCACACGAGGCGTCACGCGAGCAACCAGAGCGAGCTACTGCAGTCGTCGTCGGGCGTTTTAAAATTCCGCCATAACGGATGTATTGGTTGGAAGGCGCCGGAAGCGGCATTAACAGACGAACGTTATAAAAACACATAAATTATATCCGATAAATTCTAGTAATTCAACAAAAATAAAAACTATAAACACAAAATATTTTTAGGCAACTGTGTAAGTTGTGCGTTGATTGGCAATTAATCTTTTCTTCTTGGCAGCGTCACAGAACACCTTCTGCGCCGCGCGGCGCCGCAGTCAGCCCCCCACACACATGGAGGAAAGAAAAAGGAAGAAAAAAACCTTTTCTTCCTCCGTGCCCACCACGGAGGAAGGAAACCTTTTCCTTCCTCCGTGGTGCCCACACAGAAGTGGCTTCTGCGCCGCACTTAAGTGACGTCGCTTTAAAAATTATTATCTGAAGCTAGTTAAATGTATAAACTATTTATGTATAATGCTTTCTTCATGAACCGAGAGGTTTTTGAGGTGATGGTGAAAACCATAAAGTTACATTCTGTATGAAACTTTATGATGAAAACCTTTGTTTATGTCACAGAGTTTCCTAAATGCATCGACGATCCTACAATAACATATTATTTTGTGAAACTCTATTGTCAAGACAAAGTGGTACAACAAACACTTAAAAAGTAAAAAAAAAAAAGCTGCGTTGAGCTTTTTTTAGGACTCCGCAAAAGAACTCGTTCCTTTTTTTTTTTTTTTTTGCGGAATCCTCTGCTGTGCCTTTTGAAGTGTTACTTCAGCTCATAGACTACGTGATGTTCGCAACACTTTCTTTTGCTGGAGACTGTAACTTTCTCGTAAAAGCTGTCACACTTCACGCGGAAATGTGACAACCCTAGCTAGCCACGATTTCTGGCAATTGATGTAAATTTTCCAATTCAATAATACATTGCGGTAGCAGGTGACACAATGGGGGAAAAATGCAGGTCAGGCCTGTATTATAAGTACATAATGTGCCGATCGAGTTTTTTTACATATATGCATGCAATCTTTTTTCGCCCGAGCTGCAGTTTGGCACAAAAAATCGGTGCCTCATTTGAATGCATCGGTATCCTTGCGGAAAGTGCGTTGGTTTATTGCCTCATCACTGTTTTGTTATGTATGTACGGTACATGCACTATTATATCACTATTATCATCCCTGTCCTCACATTGCCAAATACCTTGTTGTACTGTGTTTAACTTGCAATAGTTTATTATGTGTGTACTTCTCTGCTAGATAACTTGTTACTATAGGGCTCCATGCTTTCGTATAAATCTGAAAGAATACGATGAACACTCGCCTGTAAAATTTTTAAGATTTATCCAATAAACTCTGATTTTTTATTGGCATTTACAACATTCAAAGGGCATTTTCAAAGCTGAGGATTATTAATTGAAAAGAGCACACCTCCATCAGTGGTAGCCATGGGTCAGCAAAAGGTGTGGAACTCACTCAGACTCGCTCATGAAATATATTTTGACCTTTGGACTCACTCAGACTCACGAAAATTTACTTCAACTGCACTCCCTCAGACTCAAACTCACCAAAACACCACTCACCCAGACTCTCTCAGACTCACGGTTCTATCCGAGTCTGGGTGAGTTCGAGTGAGTCGACTCATGAGTTTGGCATCCTAGGAATAGCTTCTTTGACCATGATTTCAATGCTCTTTAACACCAATATCTCACGTAATTGGTGCCCTTCTTGGTGCCGTTTGACATATAATAACTTTAAGAACAAATTCCAAGTGTTTCTAAACCAGTAAAGTCATTTTTCTTGGAAGAGATGACAGCATAAAATATAATCACCACGAAAGTACCTGGAAGAGTTGGTCGGGAAAGATATAGGCACCCCCCCCCCCCCCCCCCTATGTAATTCACACTTCTAATTTATAAATATTGAAAAGGTACATAATCGACACATTTTTGGAATACCTGTGAGTAGACACGAGTATAAACGTGAATCCAGGTTAGGCTGATAGTAATGCTGAAGATAGATAGATAGGGTCTGAGGTCGGTAAAAGAAAGTGGGATTCACTCAGACTCACTCAAGAAATATGTTTCGCTCTTTGGACTCACTCGGACTCAGACTCGCCAGAATTTTCCTGAGCCGTACTCATTCGGACTTACGCTGACGAAAATTTTCTTCGACCGGACTCAGACTCGCGAAAATATTTCGCACCCAGATTCACTAAGACTAACGGCTTGATCTGAGTTTGAGTGAGTTTGCCGACCTATGATAGCAGCAACCTCGTAATGTATGCTTGTAAATTATAACAAGCTTTTAAGGTTGTAATACGAACAAATGTTGGTGTTTCATATTCAAGTACTTAAGCTAGTATGTATATTGTAGCGATGCCGAGGCAGACAGGCTAAAAAAACAAGCGTCTTTACTAAGGCAAACTTGTGCCCACGAGTCTAATGATATGGTCGTCGAAGTCCGAGTAGTCGAGTTGCACAGTTCTGTCTTCTTCGTAGCAAGAGCGCGTGGTGTGCATGCCAGCCGGGTCAAGCCTGGTGCTCGTGCTACGATGGTTGCGGCGAGATATATTGAACGTGGCCAACCGGTCGCGGCATTATCCCCCTCCTCAGACACGTCGTCCCGATGCTTGAGACAGTGAAGATACATGCGCACTCTCACTGCTTTTCCGAGGATCTGTCATGATAGGGCTTCATGCGGACTACGTGTACCACGTTCGTGGGATTGCGGCATCTTGAGCTCTCGTGTCCAGCGGATCTGACTTCATAAGTAACGTCGCTTAAACAGTGAAGTACGGTACTTCATAAGGGCCGAAGTATCGGCAAAGAAGCTTTTCGGAGAGTCCGCGGCGGCGCACTGGGATCCATATCCACACTTTCTCACTGGGATGATATCACTGCATCGCTTGTTGTACCGACTAGAATCGACGCACTGTTGGCGGTGTATTCGGTATCTTGCCATTTGTCATGGTTCTACGGCTCTTTGCAAGAAGTCATCTAAGTCAGGTGGATAGCTGCTTTCATCCCGTAGTGGTAACATGGCGTCCAGTGGGCCGAATACTAGTTCGAAAGGGGCAACGTGGGTTGTTCCTTGAACGTCTGTATTATATGAGAATGTTATGTAGGGTAATATTTCATCCCACTGTTTATGTTCAACATCGACATACAATGATAGCATGTTGGTTAGAGTTCTGTTGAGGTGTTCGATTAAGACATTTGACTCAGGGTGATACGCCATTGTTCTTCTGTGATCGGTATTTGTTATGCGCATCAGGCATTGCATTAGGTCTGCAGTAAATGCGGTGCCCCATTTCGTAATAATGACGATGGTCGCACCATGTCTGAGCACTATGTTGTTGACAAAGAACTTGGCGACTTCGGCAGCTGTCGCGCTGTACAAAGAGTCAGTCTCAGCATAACGGGTCAGATAGTCTGTGGCTACGACTATCCATTTCTTGCCTGCACACGATGTCGGGAAAGGTCCTAGGAAGTCCATGCCGACTTGTTGGAATGGGGCATCTGGAGGATCTATTGACTGGAGAAGGCCGGCTGGTTTTACAAGTGGAGTTTTGGGGCGTTGACATTGACGACAAGTTTTCACGTAGTGCTGCACTGATGCAACTTAATTAGGCCAATAGTACTTTGGGCGAATCCTGGCAAATGTTCGACTCACACCCATGTGTCCAAATGTTGGCTCATCGTGGCATGCATGCAGAATTTCCTCTCCCATGGCTGTGGGCACGACTAGTAAAAACGCTTTGCCATTAGGTTCGAAGTTCTTCCTGTAAAGGACACTTCCTCAAAAGCAGAACGTGGAGAGCCCTCTGGAGAATATGCGAGGGACTTGAACGTCGAGACCCTGCAGGTGTTGTATAAGCGCCAGCAAATCCGGGTCATCTCGTTGTTGTTGAGCGATTTTGGGTGCGTCGACAACGCCTAGAAACGGGAAGTCTTCCTCTTCAGGTACGCTTGGATTGACGGGGGAGCGTGACAGGCAGTCGGCATCGCTGTGTTTCCTTCCAGATTTGTATACAACAGTAATGTCATACTCTTGCAGCCTAAGGCTCCATCTTGCTATTCCACCTGACAGATCCTTGATATTTGCCAACCAACAGAGAGCATGGGGGTCACTGACAGCTCTGAACTGTCTACCATGAAGATAGGGTCTAAACTTGTTTATTGCCCAGATGACTGCGAGGCACTCCTTTTTAGTTGCAGAGTAGTTTGCCTCAGCTTTTGAGAGTTTGCGGCTGGCATAGGCTAACACTTTCTTTTGACCATTTTGCCACTGGACTAGGATGGCGCCAAGGTTGACATTGCTAGCATCGGTATGAACTTCAGTGTCAACTGTCTCATCAAAATGGGCAAGTATTGGTGAACCCTGTAGCTCTTTTCTTAATTCGTCAAAAGCTTTCTGTTGTTTGCTTTCCCATGTGAAGGGCACATAGTCTTTTGTTAGTTTTGCAAGAGGCTCCACAATCTTTGAGAAGTTTTCCACAAATCAGTAGGCACATAAACCTAAAAATCGATGCACTGACTTTTTGTCTCTGGGTGTAGGGAACCTCTGAACAGTGGCTGTCTTTTCGGGATCCGAATGAACACCGTCAGAACTAATGACATGTAAGGAATCGCAGCTCTTCGAAGCTGAAGTGGCATTTTTCAGGTTTGATTGTCAAGTTTGCTGACCGGATGGCTCCCAACACTGTGCGTAATTGCTCTAGATGTTCGTCAAACATTGCAGAGAATACCACCACATCATCCAAATATACTAGGCATGACTGCCATCTCAATACTGCGAGGACAGTGTCCATCATTCGCTGGAACGTCACTGGCGTGGAACAGAGGACGAATGGAAGCGCATTGAATTCGTAGAGGCCGTCTGGTGTTACGAATGCTGTTTTTTCACGGTCCTGCTCGTCGACCTCTATTTGCCAATATCAGCTTTTCAGATCCAAAGAGGAGAAAAACTTTGCGGATCACAGCCGATTTAGTGTATCGTCGATACACGGCAACAGGTAGACATCTCGTTTGGTTACACTGTTCAGTTTT